AAAAAAAAAAAAAAAAAAAAAAAAAAAAAAAAAAAAAAAAAAACTCAATTTAAATTCCAATAAAAAGAAGTCGAGTGAACTGAAGCAAGAAATGAGAAGGGGAAAATCAATTGCATATAAAATGTTAAATATATACGGAGCAGTAAAAATTCACCTCAATTAAACACGATTGGAACAAAAAAAAAACGTGTGAAAATATTGAGGCTGCCCAGAAATTCAATCGAATATCAATATAGGCCGGGTGAAATTGAGCCCCCGCACATCACGATTGCAAGGGCCCATTGGAACGGCCCATCACTCATTCGGAACAAAATCAGAATAAGACGAAAATTAAGTGAATCTAACAGTTACATACTTACATGTGAGGCCCTTTACCACAGCAAAAGAGAAATTGAGAATTTTCTCAGTTGGCGGCAGGAAAAAGGCCGCTCCGAAGATCGGTTTATGCCGGCAACGGAACACGAGCGCCACAGCAACGCCGGCGCCCGGTTCTCTCAAAGGCAATACAAAAGTTGGTGAAACCCTAAAACCCTTTTTTTATAAGGAGGGGTTTGATTCAATTGTCCCTTTTGCCCCTCTTCTGAAACTGGGCCTCTGCACAATGCCGCCCAATATTTTATTAGTGGGCTAGACATGGCCCAAACCTGATTTCGGGTCGGTCGGGCCGCGGTTTTGGGAGTCCCGAACCGGCCCAATAACATATTGCGGGCCGGTTAAAAGAACCGGCGGTTGTGGTTCAGAACAGACTCGTCGGTTCCTGGTCGAACTATTAAATTAGAAAATAATAAAAAATAAAATAAAATAAAAAATGTCGAATCGTCGCGTTTCGGTTCCATTTCAAATTGTGAAAAATCGTAAACTTGAACTGGCCCTGGGCCTAACCTGGCCGGTTTCGTGTCGGGTCGACGGGCCAAATTGGTCCGTGGACATGTCTATAGTGGGCTTGTGAGGAATTTAATTCAAACAAATCACCATCTTATCTCAATTGAAAAAATAAAAATAGGAAACTAGAGAAGAACCTTTATCCAACTACAAGAATGTTTGCAAACACTACAAGAACGACCAAAGCAAAATCATCATACAGTTTATGACACAAGGACAGTATTAGTATTAGTATTAGTATTACAAATGAACATTATTTGTGAAAAACAACAAATGTATAACAAGATTGAGTCCCTATACTAGCCATGATACATTAGGCTACAGCAGTATTGCCCACAATAATCTGTAAACATATACATTACAACACATCCTTGTTTTCTATAAGCAGCTTTCAATGAAAAAGAAGACCACCTTCACCAATCTCAGATTGCACCCCAATCCACAGCCCGAGCAGCAGTCGTGTCCCAATATAAAACACAAAAACAAAAATAAAATATAACATAAAATCATTTTATTCGTTCCAAGTTATAGTTCACCACGCGCTCAAGCGCATGTCTGAAGGGACTTTGCGGCAGGCAGTGGAGATTATCGACCGCCCGATCGGCAATCTCCCGAGCCAGGTCCCGGGCCCGATCGATGCCCCCAGAGCTACTCACAATATCAATGGCCTCCTCGAGCGAGCCAGTCTCACAAAATTCAGTCTCGATTATGTCCCTCAGCCTCGTCTCCTTCTCCAAGGCGAATATCACGGGGGCCGTTAAATTTCCTTTAGCCAGGTCACTCGCGGCAGGCTTGCCCAGCTGCTCAGCTGATTGGGTGAAGTCCAAGATGTCATCAACGACCTGGAAGGAGAGGCCCAGGTTCTTGCCATACTGGTACATCTGTTCGCTGATGCTGGCGTGGACCCCGCTGAAAATGCCAGCTCCCTTGGTGCTGGCGGCGATTAGGGAGGCCGTTTTGTAGTAGCTCTTGATTAGGTACTCGTCCAGCTGGATGTCGCAGTCGAACAGGCTGGACGCCTGCTTTATTTCGCCACTGGCGAAGTCTTTGATGACCTGGAAAAGGGAGTGTGTTTGGCCGAGCTTTTGTTATTTTCAATATAAAAATAATAATGAATAAAGAACAATAAATAATGAATCTTGTGTCATTTTATATCCTCCACTGCCAGTAAGTAATAAACATTTGGCGCCAAAAAGAATAAATTTGCTTATTTATTTTTGTTTTATAGCAAATTTCAACAGACCTGGCTGATAAGCTTGATAACTTCAAGATTTTCAAGATTCGCCAGGTACCATGATGATTGGGCGAACATGAAATCCCCAGCCAGCACAGCCACTCTTGTGCCGTATAATTGGTGAACAGTTTCCTTTCCTGAAGTACCACCGTACATATGTCAGATTATACTCTTAAGGAAAAAGGAGGAGAAGTTAGATAGCAGCAAAGATGGCCCTTCCTGGGGCCGAATCTGTAAAATGCAACCAAATTGTTACAAGTTCTGCTGCCCAAAAAATCGATTCTCGCTAAGGACACATTTTCTTTCAGCTGTATTTTTCTCCTCTTGGCCCTCTTTTCTTATGAAATGGGTTGGAGTTAATTCTTGCTTATAATGTAATTTGAATGACTTTTGAAAAAGTCTACATGATGAAGTTGGCTGTTCAATAAAGTCTTATAGCACTAATATGATGGAGAAACAGCAAAATCAAAGCAAGCATACAACTTTTGAACTTCAACAAACAGAAAGCATAATGACAACACGTAAAATATTTGTTTGACAGAAAGTATGGAACACTAACCTCTCCGCATGTTACTTTCGTCTAATACATCATCATGTATCAGACTTGCAGTGTGAATCATCTCAATGATCTCGGCCAACCTTCTATGTTCTTTGGTGAGTTCCCTAAAACAATGAAACCAACAATGGCTTAAACCTCAAAATGTGTACAAAAGATGGTGCATCTGATAATATTTACTCACTTCAAACCAGCAATCTCTGCAGTGGCTCTTGCAACTAGAAAAACTAAAGCCGGTCTAATCCTTTTCCCACCGGCTCCAAATATTTGCTCGGCAGCTGACATCAAGACAGGATTTTCTGAACCAACAATCTGATGGTGGTTTTAACCAAGATAAGTTAAATTTTTTTGTTTCAGTTTCACACGATAGATACCGTTGATACACAGATACAAATTTTGTACTTGTCATCTAACAACATGGCAAAGTCTACTGCTAAATAAATCTTATTAGTTTATGGATTAGCAATGATAGCAACAACATTCTTCACCATATGACAATCTTTTTCGAATATCCTACTACTGGCACTGAATCATATTATATACAGTCCCGACTAATGCATTTGTCCAAATGCATATGCAGTACTAAATAATTAGAGGCAGCCACTGATGGATCACTGACACATTTGCGCAAGAAAGGTTCAAGTGAGGTAACAAAATAGTTAGCTGGATCGACGCAT